TGTTTCAAAGATGCAATGAATGTCGAGATTTGGATTTTTTTTTTAAAATAACATGCATTTTCCTTTCATATCATATGTATTAATATTTTATCATAAGAGCGTTTATAAATGGCTTTTGTAAATTGGTTTCAATGTTGATCTCTTTTCAGATATATGCCGCTATTTACATCATTTTTTGTGAACATCGACCAGAAATTGTATTTTGTGACTTAGTTTCTGTTTGCATTCCTATTTTACGTTTAAGAATTCCACATGTAATATATTATTGTCATCATCCAGATCAGTTACTCTCACAACCAAATGGCATTAGTAAGCAGATATACCGAATACCACTTAATTATTTTGAAGAAATCACAACAGGAATGGCACATAAAGTATTTGTAAATAGTTTATACACGTGTCGTGTATTTAAGGATACTTTTAAGAGGTTACAAGTTCAACCTGAAATCTTGTATCCTTCAATCAATACAGAGTTTTTTGATAAAACTAGAATCATATCTTTGGAAAGAGTATTAGATAGAAAGTTACCATCAGACAGTGTTATATTGCTATCAATTAATAGATACGAACGTAAGAAAAATTTGGGATTAGCTATAGAAGCATTGGCAGAACTGAAAAAATATTTATCAGATGAAGAATATAAAAATGTGTATTTGATTATGGCTGGTGGATATGATAAAAGAGTTGAAGAAAATGTAGAATATTATTTGGAATTAATAGGGCTTGCAGATGAATTACATGTTACAGAGAAAGTGATATTTCTTCGTTCTCCTTCAGATATTGATAAAGTATCTATCCTAAATCATTGTAAAATTTTAATATATACACCATCAAATGAACATTTTGGTATTGTCCCTCTTGAAGCAATGTATACAAGTAAACCAGTAATTGCTCACAATTCTGGAGGTCCAAAAGAATCTGTTGTTTCTGGGGTAACTGGATTTTTAGTTGAGTTATCTGGTGATGCATTTGCTTCGAAGATAGCTTATTTGATTAAAAATCCAAGTTGCATACAAAAATTTGGTAACATGGGTAAAGACAGATTTATTGAAACTTTTAGTTTTGCTGCATTTAGTGCTCAATTAAATGAAGCAGTTGAACATTTAATTAACAATAAGAAAGAAAAATAAAGCTATAATAACTACATTTTTATATCTCTGAAATAAATATTTAAATTGTTACATTTTAATTATATTTTTTATATTGAATGAATGTATGGTGACTGTGTCAAAGATATAAGATGGTATCATATATAAACTTTTACAAGATAGACTGCACTGCAACTGTAACTTATTGTATTTTTAATACTAGAAAAATTGTTTCCATTTTTGTTTTATATTCATCTTAATTTTTATTATATTAGTTTCTATTTTAACACAGTAGAATATTTATTAGTTTATTTATTTTGAAGATAGAAATTTTTTCATATATACTCATTCTTTATGTTTATCATGCACATGATCTTTATACTATGTTCATGAAAAGATCATTAATTGTACGATATATATAAAATTGTTTAAACTATATTACAATTTATTCAATTTGAAATTAAGTATAATTTGTAATGTTTCTTAATATGTTGACTTCCATGTATATTTTTCCATGTTTTCCATTGCATCCGAAATTTATCTTATGTTAATTATAACATAAGCATGATAGTGAAATTGTGATATGTTGGGCAATTTATTACATAATAGTCAACACATTAATTTGAAACAATTCTTTTGTTGCATTTATTAAGTAATGTTCAGTAAGAAGTTAATCCATTAATTGTGAACTGTCAAGTTTTTCACTGGAATAAAAACCTGCTTTAACTTGTCTTCCACCAAAAAAACGTCCATTCAAATCGACAACAGCCTTAATAGCACTTTCTATTCTCTTGAATTCTACAAAGATTCGAACTGCTTCTTCTGGAGCAACTTCTGTTACTTCATGAATAATAACACGTGCAACATCACCATATTTTGTGTTACATTCATCTTTGACTTCAGGTTCAAGATCATCGTCTACTTCACCAGGACCAACCATATTGCGTAGTAAGACAACCTAATTTATAATTAACAGAATATTAAGTAACAACATTAAAAAATAATATTCCAAATCATTTATGATATCCACTACTTTCTTAAAATGTTACCTTGCTTGGACATTTCATTATTTCTGTAATACTAGGCTCCTCAGAAGGTTGCAGTGCAGCAGCCTGTTGTGGAGGTGGTGGAGAAACAGCAATAGGTGGTGGAGGAGGCATAAGTTGTTCTCTTTCCCCAACAATTCTACCACCTCTTTTACTAGTTTTTTCTACTTGTAAAGCAACAGACATTCCTTGTTCTTTTTTACCAAGACCTTGACCTTCCTTAAAACCATATTTGGCCATTATTTTTGCTGCTACGGATGATGTTGCGTATCCTATATTAGTAGCTTGTCTTGGTGCTGGTGGTGGCAGATCGGAAGATTCTTGTAAAGAAGGTGGTGGTGCTATAGCTGCTCCTCCTGCAATACCTCTGGATGTTGGAGTCCTTTCCTCATCCCTCTCAGGAGGTATCATTGTGTTATTTCCAGAAGAAGTCTAAATATACACTTGTGTTACTCCATGTACAAAGAAACTTGACTTGTACAGTTTTATTTAAACATTAAATGTCCCATATTACCTGTGTATCTTCAAAACGTGAACTGTCACGTCTTCTCTTACGCATTTCAGTTTCTTGATCATGTTCTCTATCACGTAAATCCCTTAATTCCTTAACAACTTTGTCGTATTCATTGGGCCACATAGGATCATATTCATTTATTACATTCCAATCGAATTCACCACCTATTCCAATACTGCTAACGCTACTGGAAGAAAGTGGATTATTATGTGGCCCATCATCATCTCTATCTGCATTTCGATTTGATTTTGACTTTAAATCTATTACAGGTGCTAATACTGCTGTGGCTTTTCTATATTGTTCACGCTTCGGCTACACATGTAACATAATAACAATTTTAAATGTTGTCATGATTCAATTGTTATTACGTAAAAAAACTTACCTGTGTAGTAGCGGCTTTTTTTAATTGTAATTGAGATTGTAATAACTTAATGCTAGATGACCATCCAGCCACCTTTTCGGATGTTCGATGCTTATCAAAATCATCGTACAATGACATTGTGTTCAGCTATTATATGTCACGTTTCCATTAAAACATCGTACTTAATTTTAAAGTAAAAGCTGTTTCGAGACGATAAATAATATTGTTCGATGTATAATTAAAATAAAGGAAATGGTATTTCATAAAATTTCATGAAATCAGTGATTGACAGGTATTTTTATAAAAGTGTATAATCTTAATTCTCATCAACGTTCCAAAAAAGTATTCTTACTTTTCTGCGTTTTCTTATTGACAATTAAAATACTAGCATTAGAGGTTAGTATCCGCCTACAGCGTCTATGTATTTGAACAGTTTATACATGTATATTAGAAATCCTTAAGAAGAAATGCGACTAACTTCAAGGGATTTAAAACTGATCTCGAACTTTTCCAAGACTAAGGAATAAATAATAAAGTTTTATATATTTTAAAAAGAAAATTATATAAAATAAAATAATAAAATCAAGCAATTTCTAATATAAGATGCATCAGTTTCATGTTTAATGTGGCATTTGAATTTTTAATAAAACCGTGTCAGCGTCAAGTTGGCAGGTATGAAGACATTTCACTGGAGAAATTAGATTTGTCTCTAGATTTATGTTGGTCATAAATACGTTATAGTAGGGGTGATGGCGTTTCGGTCGGGCATGTAGTGATTGAAGTTCACGCTTGGAGTGGGGAAGAAAGGAAAAGAGAATATCACGTTTTACTCGAGGTCTGTTATAGAATATATAAAATTAACTTAACAAAGCTTATCCGAGAAATTTGGCCTTAAATCTTAGACAATTTCGATGTAAAATAACGTTTTCATTAAAGAAATTCGATATTATTGAACAATTTTGGAAGAACGATTATTGTGCGTAGCCCTCTGGTAGCGAGTTCAAGAGGCGTTGTCGCTACAATCGTCACAGTTGCAACGGGAGTTTGGCGGGCAACGTAGGGACGATTGGCCAGTCTTCCCTCTTGTAGTCGATGGTCACCGCAATCATCCGGCTGAGTATCGGTTCGAGTTTTCCCAGGAAAACACTACTTCTCGCGGACCCATTGTCCCCGACGCGTCGGCGAAGCCCAACGGAAGGAGGATTCTTCGTGCATATACATCAAGCACCCAAGGTAAGTCGCTACGCCAACAGCAAATGTTGCTTGCTGTAATGATCCCGACTCCGCGGTTCTTTCCGTGCAATTTCACACGTGGTCCTCGACTTCAATTCAATTTCTCGTTACACGGTAAATGAATATTCGCTTCGCTTCGCCGATTCCGCTGAAAAAATTTCTTTTCGCCGTTGAATCCGTTTCATTACGATTTGCCTTGCACATATACCTCGCCCTCGACTAATCTTTCCTTTGGCCAGGCAAAAAAAGCGCAGTACGGCGTCAGTCTTGGATGCCATCTTCGCGCCGTGGCGTACTTGCGTACCACCACTGCAAAGTGGGGGCGATAGAGCCACGTTGTACTATGGACGGCAATTCTTTGAGGGTTTTATGGAAAAATAATCTCTAGCGATTATTAATTCGTTCGTAAAATATTACTGCGCCCACCGAAACCCCCGAAATCGGAAATGGTGTCCATTGTACGCGACGCTCGCCACGGACACGTGTATTCTATGTACTCCCCGAGAATGGATGGATGTACGATGCCATTTTATCTTGTTATTCAAAATAGCTTATATTTCGTCAGATTCATCCTTTTCCCGTTAATTGCACACACACAACTTCAGCATTTTTTTCGAAGATATTAAACATGAGAATAATTTTCGTCCGATTTTCTCTCGTATTCCTAGTTACTTTTATAATCTAATTTTTATATCCCATTTTTTTTCCACATTTCTCCGTTCACTTTTTTTTTACGTGAAATTTTTAGAAACGCTTTTCCCTCGAATAATAGTCACCAAAATCGGAGTACTTGAAATTTTATTCGAGTATTATGCGTTACTACGAGATTTATAACAATATAATATATTTTTAACAATTAAGGCGTTTTATTTGTTTAACTCTATTTCTATGATACCTCGTATTTTAATTTAAGAATATGTTTCTCACTTGTATTGTAATTATTGATGAAGGTTCATTATGGTTGTATTGTATAATAACTTGATCAAGTTGTTCACATATCATCCCACACAAAGATGATACGAATAAAATATATTTTTCTCAAAAGAGAAGAAATCTTTGAATCCAAACATGTAAGGCAGGATTGTGTACAAAACATTGGATAATCATTTTTACAGATTTATAAACCATGAGTTCGAGCGCTTGTTACAAGTGTAACCGGATGGGCCATTATGCTCGGGAATGTCCACAAGGAGGTGGAGCTGGTGGTAGAGGTGATCGTGGACGTGATCGAGAAGGTGGTTTTGTTCGAGGCCGCGACAAATGCTACAAGTGCAACCAATTTGGGCATTTCGCACGCGAATGCAAGGAAGATCAAGACCTATGCTACCGTTGCAATGGCGTTGGACATATTGCAAAAGACTGCCAACAGGTTATTAGAAACTTTAATTTCCTCGTTATATTTGATATTTTTTAAATATAATTTTCATAATGCAGCGCGCAAGAATTTATGATAGGTACTCATAAATTCATACGTTCACATTAATAAGTCATGTTATGTTATAATCTGAAGTATTTTGAACAGGGGCCTGAGATGAGCTGTTTTAACTGCAACAAGACTGGCCATATTGCACGTAGCTGCCCGGAGGGTGGCAATGATTCTGGACGCTTCGCCATGCAAAGTTGCTACAATTGCAATAAGACAGGTCATATCGCTCGCAACTGTACCGAGGCTGGTGGAAAGACGTGCTACATTTGTGGCAAAACTGGTCACATAAGCCGTGAATGTGATCAGGATGACAGGAAGTAGGATATAACCGGAATCCGTGCCGCTCGCTTAACGATAAGCCGTTTACCGTCGCGCGCGCTATTACCGGGAATTGTAGCTAGGTAGGGATATGCGAACGTGTGTCTCGTTGATGCGTATAACCGCTAAAAACGTGTTTCGTCATAATCGTTCGAATTTCAATCTCTCCATGCCCAACTCCCGGAAGCCCATTTTATTCCTAGTTTCTTTCCCCTCTAAACATCGTTGTTCTCTTCGCAAGGGTTTTTTCTTATAATGTCTTTGTTTTTATTGCTGTTACACTACACCGTACATGCGCGCGCGCGCACAAAAGTACATTTACACATAGGACACATTCAAGCATTACATGAATACACACACTATTACAATGTAATAATATTATAAACATTCGATTGAATTAGAGTAGAGACATGAATCCTCTGTCCCCTGACCTTCAAACTATCTCGTACGCGCATTATTTTGTGATGCAAGATGTATGGATTCTTAAATATGCTTTGTAAAAGAACGTTCAACTCAGGTCGACAATTTCTGTTGGCCATGTTTTGTCAGCTTAACTGGAGATGCTTTTTTACGTTCGTTGGTGATTCACATTGAAACGAGAAAGATAATGAGATGATAAAAATTAACAAGATAGTTACATTTTTTGTACATGAGAGGGATATAAAAACTGACGAAAAAGAAAAAAACAGTTGTGATAAGTCCAATATTATGTTCCTTTTTCATATCCACGCATCTTGTATCCGGTCCTCCCTCTCGAACTCTCTAGCAACTCAAAAAAATGAAGAAAAAAAAAGAATAAGAAATTCAGAATTAATGGGAAAGGAAGTGAAAATGCCGGCCCTGAATACATATAAATAAGGTTTAGTAACGCCAGTTTTTAATGTGTAAGGATGTAACGAGGATCATTGAACCATTACTTTTGTAATGAATCTAGTTTCAGATCTCAGTGAAAACTGCACAATTGTAAGATTGTCAGTGTTTACTAGTTTATATACAGTTATACTTGATCTACGTATTAGATTCTGATAAACTAGGACATAAGTGTGCTTTTTATGTCAAATTCTTCAAATGAAGATGAATGTAAGTACTGGTATGATCGTCAGTGGTTATATTAAAACACGTATATATGTATATATACATATAAACACAGAAGTCTACGCAAGGTTGCACATTTTCTACCTAAAATCATAATTGTTGTATTGAGCGTCGCCATTGTTCATACTATCAGTGATTGTTACACAGACTTCAAAGGATGCAGTTGCATTTTACCTTACTACATCCTTACACATGGTGAAATGTGTTTCGTTACTAGGTATATGTATATATATATATGCACATATGTGTATACATATATACATACGTATGTGCAGGAGCTGTATTTTGTACTGTAAAAAGCTAGATATACTCTGGTCGTTGCTGGTGACTAATTCTAACGATCCTTTTATTTATATATCACAGAAAAAACGGGAGTTATATTTTCATGTATAAAGTACCGCACTAATCTTTTTTTTATAAGTTCTAGAACGAAAAATTTTTAGATCACGATTTGTCTAGTATTTTTTTTCCGAACGTCTGCCGAAAATCATGAAGTGTTAAAGAGAATAATAATAATAATAAAAAAAAATGATGAAGAAGAAGATGGAAACAAGTGTAGCGCATTTAAAAGTCTCGAATATCTCTCTCCGAATATTGTGTGG